CTGAACTTGACTCTAGAGTCTTGGCATCTCACCTGCAGGGATGAGAGAAAAATGAATTCTCATATAATGAAGCGAGTATGTGGGACCCAAAGAACAGAGCAACGGACGCTGCCCAAAGACATGGAGGAAAACACCAGCAGAGTATGTCTGTGTAAACTGGATCACAGTGGAGGTGCAAAAGCCCGGGTTAGGAAGAACCAGATGTGCCAGTGTGTGTGTGTGTGTGTGTGTGTGTGTGTGTGTGTGTGTGTGTGTGTGTGTAGATCTGGGTTTCACAGCAACGTTTAACCTCAAGAATGACTGAAGACCGTGCCAGCAAGAGTCTAGAATGAAGTTGTAAAGTATTTCTATACCTAGAGCGTGAACTGAATCTCATTCCCTGGGTAACAGAATGGCATGCTAATTTTCAAAGGAGGTTCTGGAGCCAGCGTGAGAATGAGGGTAGCGGGTCTCTAGGTGAGGTATTTGGGTGAGAAGATGAGACGTAAGAAGGGAACAGCAAAGGCAGAGACAATCCCAGGTTGACTGCAAACTTCCCCCTAGGGTTGGTCCAGGGGCGGCTCACAAAGTAAAAGGAGGTTTCTACCCCTCCAGCCCCACGTTAGGAGACGCTTAGCTTGGCTAACAGCGCAGCTCTGCTTCGGCTTCCACTCATCCATCCTGTAGAGGAAACAGCCTTGTTCATTGCAGCCCCTGCCCTCCCCAGGTGCCACCTGAGCTGAGGCATCTCTTAAGTACATGGATGGACACTGTCTGTACAGGGGTCAAGGGGCAGGTGCGCACATGGCATGGCCACTCTGATGGCAACGAACAGCTGTAGGATGTGACGAGTTAAGGATGGACCTGTTAGTCAACTGTCAAAGGTGACTTCATGAGTTGGACAAGTTGTCTCCCTGCTTTAGGCTTCAGTTTCTAGTCTGTTAAATGGAAATGATGAAAGTTATCTATTTTGTCTGTCGAGTGGTGGAAATGACATGAAGTAATGCATGTGCAATACCACTTTTGGTGTGTACAGAGTCTACACACTTAACATGCAACCCATGGATATCTCAACTAGTATTAATAATAATAAACGAAACATCCATTTTAACCTGGGAAAGGGGACTGGCCAGACATGCTCTCAAGCTGGCTGCCAAATGGGAAGAAAATGATATGATGGACCACAGCAAGGGTGCTACAGAAGTCCCAGAAGCACGGGGGCTAGGTACTTACCTCCCGTGCCGTGTGGGGACACGTGTTCACAGGACAGGGTTCATGAGTAACTAACTGCTCCTTGTTCCCTTCCTTTGACATTTCCACCTCTCCTTGGTCCTTTATGATGTAGGGAGGCACCTGCTAGGCTCTGGTTAGCCAGCTGCAGGAGAGCAAAATCCACTGTGAGGTTCTTGTCAAAGAGGGGAGAAGATGGCCTCTGGACGACAGAGACCGTGCCCAGCGCATGGACTTCTAGCCATTGTAGCACTGTTCTCAACCTTGCTGTTGGTTTTTTGTTTGTTTGTTTGTTTGTTTGTTTTCATCAAAGGGTGGTCCCTAGAACCCACTGAGAGAGATCTGAGATAGTCTTCTGTGTCATTTTTAGGACCAGCTTTGAATAAACCTGTTTCCTCCCGCCAGTTGTCTTTCAGATTTTCTGTAGAGCTGGCCACCAGTGGTAGGACTTCTGATTCCAGCAGGTCTTGGAGAAGGTTCCCAGCCTGGAGGTGTTCTCTGGCCTGCCCCAGCCTCCCAACCTCCCCATCCAACCTTACTCTTTGTATTCTGTACCTCTTCCTCTCCTCAGCCTGCCCTTCCTTTCCCACTCTACCCTACCGCACATACTCCCCCCCCACCCCCCCCACCCGCCGTGGGCAGTGATAGGAGTCAGGGAGAAGTCTCTCTGACGGGGTGGAGAGCAGCAAAGTCCAGCAGGCCACTGAGCCGCTGAAGCAGAGAGGAGGCGAGAGGAGCAGGAGGAAGCCAAGATCTACATCCATGCGTAGAGAGGCAGGCTGGGTGGGACACAAGGCTGGGTGGGGCCAGCTGGGAAAGGTGGGTAAGAAAGCAGACAGCTGGTCCTTATGACAGCTTTCCCTTGGGGCACTTTAGAGCAAGGTGTAGCTTAAGTTCGGACTGTTTTCATGACATGACAAGAAATTGAAAGACCATGTGAAGTGTCTGCGGCAGCCACTGTCAAGTAGAACTGTGTCTCTGCAAGGTCACAAGGCCTTCCTGGGGCAAAGACTGCCCACCACCACACCTCCACTGCCCTCTCCCATCCTCCCATTTACAGCTCTTCCCAACATTTAGTGTCCTTCAAAACCAATGGTTTAATCATTGCTTGTCAGTGTTCTGTTTGGCATTGTCTAATTTGATGTCAATTTTTTAGGATCTGGGACATTTCCTGGCACACAGTATGTCCTCAGTAAATACTGATCAAAGTGAGAGTGAGTTACTTCAGCGTCATTATTCTGAGGATCCTCTCAGTCCTCCCCATCCCCGAGATGCTGAGTCCTTGTTACCTTCAAGGGATAAGCCTGTCACCCTCTGCTCTAGTGAGAGTCACAGTGCTTTGTCTCTCTCTGGAGGATTTGAAATGGCCTGGTAAAGATCCTCTTCTGGGACCATGTTGTTTGTGTGCCTGGGGATGTTGCCCTTTGCCCTATTTCAAGGGCAAGCATGCATTTGGTCCCAGGAATTGAGTGAATAGATCCCTCCTAGGTGTGAAGGGGAGGGCTGGGTTAGTCAGTTAGATGTCAACTCATTTGATCAGGACAAACCTGTGGAAGGTTTCCAGAGGTTAGAGGTTGACTTAGCATAGGAGCATTTACTAGAGAGACACGCTATGAAGACTGGGAGCTGTCGCCTCCTCCCTCTCCCTAGAGAAGCGCCCAGCTACAACAGTGTGGCAGACCACGAGTGTCTGCGCTGCTCAGAGACTGAACAGCCACTGCTGCTGTGGCCAAGACCTTGTCCAGAGAGAAGCGAAAGGAAGATGCTGTTCTTTTTGATCCCCTGGGTAGGAAATGCTTTCCTCCCACACACCTCCAGACAGAAGAAGAGCACGAGGCCTTGCTTGCTAAGTATTGGTGAAACTTACTACAAGAAACCTGGCAGGAAAAAGAAAACACTGTGAGCCTGCAGACTGTGTGGACATAAACCAAGAATCCATATAATCCCTCTTTCATATGGAAACCAGACATCTGGGTGATACAGCTCACTATAGTACAGACAGGGATATGGTCATAAGCTGTGCATGGGTTCTGCTTATACAGTATTTCACGTTTTATGCCAGATACAGGATTTTGTAGATGACATTTTTCCTATTTAAGCTTGTTTTTAGGCCACTTCTCATTGCAAGTGTGTCATGTGCCGAATGTGGGGACCGATTTAGATGTTTCAGTAACATATACCTTGTGCTTAAATGCCTGCAGGGAAACCTATCACAAGAGTCTGCTCTCTGACTTTTTCTTTTCAGAGAGGGTCTCATGTAGCCCAGGCTGGCCTTAAATTCACTACATAGCTGAGGACGACTTTGAACTCCTGGCTCTCCCATCTCCAGGTCTCAGGTACTGGGATTATGGGTGTGAACTACCACGCCCAGTTTTTCCCTGCTGCTTAATGTAGGCCCCTTCTTGGCCCTGAGTTTTCCCAAGAGCTTCGGTTAGACAGTTACCAAGTTTCCTATTAGAGGAAAAAAGACATTTATCATCTGTGTAATGTTTTTACATACACCACCCAGCTTTTCCTCATGGACGTGGCATGATCTATATCATCCCAGGCTGTGCTGTATCCAAATTTATCAAACCGTCAAACATTCCAGCCTCTGAATATATGTACACACACACACACACACACACACACACACACACACACACACACACACACACACTGCTTTGTTCTTGTTTTGTTTTCCTAATTCCTTTCTGAGGAATTGAGTTCATTAAGACATTTCACGCTCAGCCAGCATGTTCGATTTCTAGACAGATGCTTAAAATAAAGAGGAGGAGTTTTATCTGATACCTTTATTTATATGCAAAACAGCGCACCAGTCATGAGATATGAAAACTCGTCAGGTAGAAACCAGATTATATCTATTTTCACTACAAAATATTGCATTATATAAAGCAACAGAGACACAAAAAAACCCTGAAAAAGACTAAAATCTTTGGATAGCAGATGTGTTTTTTTTTTTTTTTCCTTTCTCCCTTGTCTCTAAAATACACTTCTTGCTTTAAGAGTTTCACAGCTGAGAACATGAAACATTTCCAGGTCACAGACTTTTCTTTTTGGTTGTCACAGAGGAAAGTAATTCTGAATTCTTTTTTCTTTTTTTTTTTAGGAAAATAATGTAATTTCCTAAAATCATCCCACGCACAAATGTCACACACACGCACACACAAGAAGCTATTCTCCTTATAAACAGTTTGTAAAGTACTTTTCAGACAAAACTACAGGCAAGAATAACAACACTTAACTTTTTATAAAACTATAGTAGTGAAGGGCTAGTGTTGCTGATCTCACACCAAAACAACAACTTCTTAATATATAAAATATGCTTAGAAACAAGGGGAAGTGGGGAACTCTCTTACACAAGTGCAATATAATCAGAAAAAAAGGAGGAAAGAACACAAGATAATCTCAACAAACACATAAAAAGTCAGACACAATTATTTCACGGGGGAAAAAGTGTAAACACTTGACTATAAATAAATTGGCACAGAGTATCCAAAGTAAAATTATCACCACTCTGAAAAATAAATGTCTTGAAAAAAATACTCTACTCCTTCTAACATAAATAAAAATAGGTTGTCTTTTTTTCTAACTGCATCTATGGGTCCACATGTTAAGGTCACAATTAGATGGGGTGTTTTTGGATATTTAAAGGGGCACTTTCCCCTAAAAAGCAATCAGATGTTAAATCTTCCATTTAAATATGGATTTTTCTATCTCCTTTAGTGTCCTATCTTGGGGTTAAAGTCTCACCAAGCTCAAATCCTCCCACAGTGTGTCTGTCTCTTCTGAATGCATCTTTTTTTTTTTTTTAAACAACACCAAAAATTCAGAATTTTATCTGTATTCGAATGTGATTTTTTCATTTGACAAGGTAACAGAAAGTTTGCTGGGACACCGTTCTGTGTCTTAATCTCTATAGGGAAAAGATTTTCATCTTTTCTTTCTCCCCAAGGTTTGGTGATTTCTTAGTTAGAAAAATCCCGGATAGTCAGAGTCCAAAGCTATCAGCCTGGGTTAAGCATCTGCCCTCAATCTTTCAAAACATGAAGATGTATGGGATATAAATATAGGGGAACGCAGAGCCTCCAGTGGGTTACCGCAACCACCCTTAAGGGATCGATCCTAATACACCAAGGAGAGGCCCAGGAGCAACTCACCCTAGGTGCCTCCAGAAGGTTCTTCCAGCCAGGAAAATACCCCTGCAAGCCCCAGGTCTTTCTGTCCAACCCCACCTCCCAGGCTCGCAAACATTCCCCTGTTGCCTTGCTGGCCAGAGAGAACAGACTGCAAGCTTTTCCCCTGCGTTCAGGTGTCTGTGGGCGACCCTCAGGCCTGGCAGTCTGGGTGTGTCGCCTTTGGCGGACCAGACACCCGGACCGGCGGCCTCCCGCGGCGTCCCCCTCGCCTACACGTCCAGGACGTGGTTGAGATAGGAGATGTAGCAGATGGCCAGGCGCAGGATCTCGATCTTGGAGAGCTTCTTGTCCGGGGGCAGCGTGGGCAGCAGTTTGCGGAGCTCGGCGAAGGCCAGGTTGAAGGCCTCCACGCGGATGCGCTCGCGAGTGGCGTGGGCCGAGCGGTACTTGGCCGTGGCGCGCCGGCGGCGGCGCTTCTCCTCGCGGCTCAGCTGCTGCGGGTGCGGGTAGAGCGCGGCTCGGCTGCCGCCCTTGCCGTCGCCGTCGGCCTCCTCCACCGGCTCGAGGTCCGACACGCTGCCCAGCACCTTGGCGTCTGCGCCGCCCAGAGACTCCGGGTCCGAGTGCGTCGAGCTGGGGTGATCTGAGTCGGCGGCTTGGTCCGGACTCAGCATCATTTTGGAGGCTGATGGGGAGTCAGAAGTCAGTCAATAAAAGCAATCTGACTCTTCATTTGCAATGAGGGGTGGCGGGCGAGGGCGTAGCACACCTGGACTCCTAGAGGGCCCGTGTCCCTGGGTCCCCCCCCTCGCACCAGGCCCACTCGCGTGGGGAGGCAAGGCTGGGAGAGGAGCCGGCACCAGAGCGCATCCTGAACCCCACACCAAAGCCTGCGGGTGGCCGAAACAGCCAATGGCCCTGAGGTTGGAGAACGACTGTGGGCCTGCGGGACCGGCTGGCATCTTGTGCCTCCTCTGGCCCAACATCAGCTGCTCTATCCTGCCCCCTTGTTCCGTCCCCTTCCCAGACACACGAAAGATCTCCATGGATGGATGTATCTGGGTTTGAATGGAGATGCAGAGTGTGCTTCCTGCCCGAGGGCCTGGGGTAAGGCAGCTGGAGACTCCCAGCGCCTGGGGGTCTAGGCTGCGGGCGAACCCCATCCCGCAACCTAGGAGGGGACAGAAAGGCTTCCGTGCCCCCACCCCTCGCGTTTCTTCGAAATAATAGAGAAATGACCGAACACATGTGCTCGGTCCTTTCAAAAGAAAATTGACTCCTCGGCCCTCACACGCTCCCGGAGCACCATCTGTCACGCAGACTGCCACACACATTGGGGACCTAGGGACGTGGATCACACAATGCCCGGCAGTCTGCCGACCACCTCCCGGGAGAACGCCGGCGGCCAGGTCGCTCTGGGCGGAGAGGCTGGGGAGGGCAGGGGACGGATGGACTCCGAGGCGCGGGTGCGGGACGCCCCGGGTGCAAGCTGCATCTCTGCCCGTAAAGTTCGTGAGCTCCTGGGACCCGAGCCCGGCAGCGCACCTCTGGCCCCGGGAGGCCTGGCGGCGGCCCGGCGGATGCGCTCGCTCCGCTGGAAAAACCACCTCCCGCCGGGCTTTCGGCGCCTGGAGGAAGGGCCCCGGCCCCAAGCCTTCGGGAACCGCTGGACTTGCGGGGCATCGGGGGCCGGCGGGTGGAGACAGGCACCTGCCTGAGCTGAGCGCTTGGGCCTCGGCCGCCAGGAGGGACGACCTGGCTGAGACTTCTGGTCCCTGGCCTAGGCTCCGAACAGGTTGTGAGTTAGAGCTCGCTCCAGAGAAACAAAAGCCAGGGCATGTGGGTTCGGCTCCTTCCTGGCCGTGCTCTCGGCGAACTGAGCTGGGAAACAGCCATCCGTGTAAGGAAAACCGATCCTCAAAATAACAATAAATGATCCAAACGAACTGCATGCGATCCCCTGCGGGCTTTTCTCTACGTCTATAAGTGAAACAACTCGCACCTACGCAGTTGGCATGAAGGGACAGAAATACACGGGGAGGGGAAAAAAATCACAACAAACCACGACACAGTTACAGATCGGACAAAAAGTTCCCAGGTTGTCCTCCACGCGTTTAAATTCTCAGGATATTTGAATAGTCATAAATAGTATTTCTCGTGGGCATTCCTGTCTATGACTATGAGTGGGGATGCATCTATAAAACGCAGTATAAATCAACTTAATTTCAAGAAAAAGAGATGCAAAGATGTCTTACCTTGCAAAAGCCCAGTCGATAATCTTTTCGCCAATCTTTTAGAGTTAAAATTCCAGGGAACAAGGAGGAGAGATTCTGGTAAATATTAAAAGCAGCCAATATTTATTACATCCACAGATGAAAAAGCGGCTGTCATCTCGCCGACTGCCACTGCGAGCGACGGTGTCTTAGGAGGTGGGTGGTATGGTTGCTCGCTTAGTTGATAGATTGAAAACGCCTGCTCCTTTTAATTGTTCTTAAACATTTCGGAAAATTCGTTGTTGATCTTTTTAAGTCGGAAGTGTTGAAGTCTCGCGCTTCCCCCTTCCTAGGACTCTATAAATAACAAAAGAGATGCAGAGATAAACACAATCACATCAAAGGGCTGATTCCTCCACTTTCTAATAGCAGAATAATCAATAAGAAAGATGGTTAAGATAAAATTCCATTCCTTGAGGACTCCTTCCCTTCCTTTAATCGGGGCTGGGGGCAAACCTGGGAAGCGCAGGCAGGGATGGATGTGGTTCAGAAGTGATTTCTTTTTTTCTTCAAGATAATGCTTTGTTCAGCCGGTGTCTCCCCCGTTCCCAGGAACACAATACAGTAACTAGGGGCTAAGGTTGCCTCTGTCTTGGTCCTCAATGACTTATACGTTGTATACACAGCTATTTCCCAGTTTCAAAGTCTTTCAAAGCTTGGTTACACCCCCTCCCCTACCCACTCCCCCCTCTCTTTACCTGGTAGTAAAATATATATATATTCAGTAGCTTGGAGATGCTTGAGCAAGCTGGGTGAGATACGAAGGTCTTCAGGAGTACCACTGACCGGGAAGCAGAGAAAGGAGAGGTTGGGAGAGCCAGAGCCAAGAGGCAGCTGCCTGTGTGGCTTCTTGGCTCTTCTGGTACCAATTGATTTCGCCTGGAGATGGTGGAAGAGATAAAGGCTTAAGAAGGGGGATGGAATTTTTTTTCCTCCTAAATTGATATTTAATGGGAAATCCTATTGGACAGAAATCTGGACATGAGTCACTTAATTGGACTTGACATCTGTCACAGTGTGGGAGTTTTCACAGCCCAAATATTTTAGCAGATCAGATTCCCACTGAATCTGTGCCATAAAATATAGCAGTTGAAAGCAGTCCATGATGGAAACCATAGCGTCTAAACAGTGTTTAGCCACACAGGCGATTTCTTGTTTTCAGATTATTGATGCACTATTTAAGTGCAAGTAAACACTATATGAACATGGAAAATTCCTCTGGCATTTTGTAAGCCAGCATCTTTTATGGATGGTTAGGAAAACAGTTGTGGAAACATATACTGTATAAGCTACTGTAATTAAGGTGAAGTATTCAGATAGGCAATGCTAACATTTATTAGAGCTGACATGTCTTTTAAAAGACACTTTTAAAATGATTATGATTTCATCATGATTATGAAGAGTATTGATATTTTGGAGAAATGTTCTACTATGATACTAACTTATTAATAGACGGTTTTTAAAGATTTTTAACACATTAGCTTAAATCGTTGGTAGAATTAGGAACAGAACTCAGGTGGTTAGGGACCACTAGACAAGACGATTCTACTTTTTTAGTTACGCTTTTTTGTGGAGTTCTTTTTCTCTCCACACATTTATTCATTTGTGCATTGTTTGACTTAAAATATGACAGTGTATGTGTGTGTGTGTGTGTGTGTGTGTGTGTGTGTGTGTGTGTGTGTCAATTATTGTACTTCATTCTTGCCCATCTTAACATGTGAGTGGATATATTTACCTGGTGGCAGTGTTTTATGCTAAGATACAAAGGCAAATTATCCTAGCATGTAATGCCTTTGCCTTATATGACCTCCATTTCTGAATTTACATGTTTTACAAAAATAAGGGAAATCTACTGTTAGTCACTATCAATTGCATATTATTTGCCATTACTTACTACTGCCAGTGACACCATCAGTTACATCTTCTCCTTTCTTTCCTTCTTT